GTGGGGGGTTCAACATGTGTCACCAGTTGGGGTTATAGCCCCAGGCGTGGATGGTGACTGGTTGACATCCAGCTCACTTTAGTTTGTGGTGTGGAATTCCATCTTTAATATATCTTCAGTGCTTGATTAACTGTCAAACTTGTTAGTTTCGTTGTGTGCAATTTCCTGTTCTTTTTCAATGTTGTGTTCCTCTTGGAGAGAGTTAGTGGATTGCTTCTAATACTTGCAATTTAAATGAATGTACCAGTTAAATCTGTTCTGATGCTTTGATTATAGTTTGCCCTGTGGACTTCATCATGAAGTTGGGACTAAACAGAAACCTTCCTTTGGATGCATTTAATGATGTACCAGGTGTTTGAGAAGCTTGGACCAAGTTTATTTGATTTTCTAAAGAGAAATAGATACTGCCCATTCCCTGTGGATCTTGTTCGGGAATTTGGACGTCAGCTTTTGGAATCTGTAGCATGTGTGTGATAGTTATTGGCTTCTGTTTTATCATATTTTGTTTTCTAACCAATCACCCAATTCTGTTTCTTGGACTGTTTTGTTTGTCCAGGGGTTGCAATTTGTTCTATAGGGTCCCTCTTGTTTAATACTTTTTTTGTTCGTAATGTATCCAACAGATATGCATGATTTACGATTAATCCACACTGACCTGAAGCCAGAAAATATTCTTCTTGTCTCTCCTGAATATATAAAGATTCCTGGTTACAAGGTATTTGGCCTTTTATAATTGAAAGCTCACGTCATTTTAGATTTGGGGTATAGACTCATTTGGTAATGATAAAGAAAATGCTTCTAATGGTACAGAGAAGTTCTTCAGATGAAATGCATTTCAGGTGCTTGCCAAAGTCAAGTGCCATTAAGCTGATTGATTTTGGTAGTACTGCATATGATAATCAGAATCATAGCTCCATTGTTTCCACAAGGCATTACAGAGCCCCTGAGGTTATACTAGGTAACCAGTTATCGCATTTGCATATAAGAATGTGTTTCTCCCACTTTTGATTAGTGATTCCATTTCTTCTTCCAAGCACAAAAGGCAACCATAGCTTTTCTTGTGCACTCTATTTTTCTTTATTCCTCATTGGGCATGGTTTAAATAAAAATCAGTTGGGGATTGTTTTTGGGATTGCCCTTAACAATAATTGAAAGGAAGGCCTCACAAGTGCCACTAAACAAAATCTAGGGGCAGCTCTTTACTATTTGTAAAAATACTATATACTGGAGTCCTATGGTGTCTTTAGCTTCCATTTTGAATGTGTGAATGTTGGTGTAGGTCTTGGATTTAAATCTTTTTACCTGTTTATGTGTCTGTTATGTTTCTTTTGATAAATTGATAATCCTACTTATCTAGTCTCTAGTAGATTTTACAAACTCTCTCTCTCTCTCTCTCTCCCTCTCCCTCTCCCTCTCCCTCCCTCCCTCCCTCCCCCTCTCTCTCTCTCTGTCCCTCCCTTTTTTGATAGAGTAGATTTTACTTGTTTATATGTCTATGATCTAAGGACGTTCTGGGTTCTGGCTTCCATTTTAGTTGTGCCATTTTTAAACTTTGACTTAACTTTGTGAGTATGATTGTCTTGCAGGGTTGGGTTGGAGTTATCCGTGTGACTTATGGAGTGTTGGTTGTATACTTATTGAATTATGCACGGTTAGTCTTTTATTTATTCATACCCTGTTAGTGTTTCAAATGTGGAACATAGAATTTTACAACTGTCTCTTTTGCAGGGTGAAGCATTGTTTCAAACACATGAGAATTTGGAGCATTTGGCAATGATGGAGAGGGTATTAGGACCACTTCCTGAGCATATGATTCAAAGGGCCAAGTAAGTTATGTAACTTATGTTATCTGTGAATTGACTATTGTTATTGTGAGAAAGCTTCCTCTAAATCTTAATAATTCCAAGTTTCATCTGTAATGTTGAATTAGTGATGTTGCAAATAATGGGTTGTAAAGTAAGACACATCACAATGATTAATGTGATTGACCATTGCTCCATTTGGGGTTTTGTACAGCCGGGGTGCTGAAAAATATTTCAGAAGAGGTTCTCGATTGAATTGGCCAGAAGGAGCAGTTTCCAGGGAGAGTATTAGAGCTGTTAAGAAGCTTGATCGATTGAAGGTTGTATTTACTATTTAATGTCATGTTCTTTTATTTCTTTAATTCTAGGGTCACGATTCCATGATGAATATATTGCCTCAGGTAATCAATATGGCTGATAATTGTTGTATGCAGGACATGGTGTCGCGACACGCAGAGAGCTCAAGACATTCCCTCACAGATTTGTTGAGTGGTTTACTGAAGTACGATCCATCAGAACGCCTTACAGCCCATCAAGCTCTGGAACACCCATTCTTTAAGAATGCAAGTTAAGAAACATTTTGAAGTGTATTCTGTAATTATGCCGGATGTCAGGATGATGAAAGGCTGTTTAAGGCCCCAAGTTTTGATGTTCAAATGTAGTTAGTACAATTTACAATAAAAGAAAATGGGGTGCTGGCCAAGTATCATTGCCAGTTAGCAAAGTCCCTACAACTTTAATTCAGTGTTTCATCTGATTTCTGTAATCCAATAATGTACATGGTTACCAATAATCACCACAAGAACACTTTCCATCCCTGAAATGGTGAAATCTATTGGCATCTCTCACTACAAATACTACCTTCAAAATCCTTGATAAACCTTTGATAAATTCATGACAGTCCCCACAAACCCTTAGGTTCTTGAAGACCCGGATGACTCTTGGCTTGTCTAACCCACCGCAAAGAAGTGCCAACCCAATCGCTAACTTCTCACCATGAACTCTCAAGCTCTCTTCCTTGGACTCCTCTTCTACATCTTTCAATGCGAATTTCACCCTATAAACATAACCCAATTCTTCCTTCATTCGTTTCTCCATTTCCTTCAAAATTTCATGGATTTTGTCCGTTTGTGGGTGCGTGTTGTCTCCCCCATAGAAGTAGTGTATCTCCTTTTCAATCTCTACCCAACTACGTCCTGCCTCTTTCTTCAACCCCTTAACCTTCACTAGCTCTCTTACTTTCTCACATTCCTTCCAATATCCAGCCTCAGCGTAGATGTTTGAAATCATCACATAGTTAACAGCATTATTGTCATGCAATCTCAAAAGAATTTCACCTACTTCTCTCGCCATCTCCAAGTTACCATGTACTCTACAAGCACCGAGCAATGTCTGCCAAATCCCCTCGTTAGGCTTTAGAGGCATACTTTCTATGAGGTCCTTGGCTTCTTTCAATCGCCCAGCACGTCCAAGAAGATCAGTCATGCAAGCATAATGCTCTATTCCTGGTTTGATCAGCTTATCATGACACAGTTGTGAAAAGTACTCTTCACCCTGCTCAATGAGTCCAGAATGGCTGCAGGCTGAGAGTACAGCCAGATATGTCACTCCATCAGGGTCAATATTTTCTAACAGCATCTTGTTGAAGAACTGAGTTGCCTCTTTGCCAAGACCATGTTTCCCATAACCAGTGATCATAACCGTCCAAGACACCACATTTCTTGCTGGCATTTCATTGAATAGTTTTTCTGCTTCATCTAAAAGCCCACATTTGAGGTACATGTCCACAATTGAATTGGAGACAGAGATTTCTAAACCTGCAGGGACCTTTACAGCATATGTGTGCATCTGCTTGCCTTGCTCCACAAGTGCAAAATCAGCAAAAACACTCATCATGCTTGATAAGACGAACCCATCCACCTCAATGCCACTGTCTCTAAGCTGCCTGAACAAGTCAATGGCCTCAGCCAAGTTTCCTTCCTGAGCATACCCCAGAATCAATGCACTCCAGGATATCACATTCTTCTGTTCAATCTGGTTAAAAACCCTGCGGGCCTCATGCAATTTCCTACATTTCACATACAAATCAATGAGTGATCCAGCAACTGCTGCCTTAATTGTATATGGAAATCCACTGATAATCAACGAACTGTGAATTATTGATCCTTCTCTGATTGCATCAAGACGACTACAAGCCTTCAATGTGCTTGTTAATGTAAATTCATCTGGGATTTCTTCACCCTTTTGCATTCTTCCAAACAGTGCTAAAGCTTTCTCACTAAGACCTGACAGAGTGTAACCTGCTATCATTGTGTTCCAGCTTATAAGACCCTTCACAGGCAAAACGTTGAACATCCTTGCTGCTTCCTTTATTCGACCACATTTTGAGTACATATCAATGATTGAATTTCCAACCACAGGAACACTTTCAAATCCACATTTTACTGACATACTGTGTATCTGTATTCCAATCTCAGGATTACTCAGAATCCCACAAGCTTTAAAATTTGTCGAGAAAGTGAACTCATTTGGCCTCACGCTTGAATATAACATGTCACAGAAGAGTGATAATGATGCTTTGGCATTGCTATTTTGTAAACACCCACATAGTAGTGCTGTCCAAGAAACTACATTTCTCTCAGGCATTCTATCAAACACATCATTAGCCATACCCATCTCAGCACATTTTGCATACATATCTATAAGATCATTGTTCAACATCAAATCAAACCCAAATCCTATCGCTAACACTGCCGCATGGACTTGAACCCCTTGATGCCGCAATTTATTCTTCGAACAAAACCTCAACAGATTAGCTAATCTCTGCCTCTCACTCCATACGCAAAACGACGATCGACCCATTTATTATCCTGCAAAAGGGTGTTAAATTTAAGCAGTTTCTCCGCTAATGGCAGCGACAATTGCTTCCTTGAGTTACAGGGAGTTGGAAAATCTCTTCGTACCCGTATTGCAAAATTGCGTTAAAATGACCGAACTGAAGAAAATTCATGCCCTCATAGTCAAGTACTCGCTATCTCAGAGCAGCTTCTTGGTGACAAAGATGGTGGATGTGTGTGATAACAGTGGAGATGTGAAGTACGCAGCTTCGCTTTTCAAGCAAGTGATCGAACCAAACGTGTTTCTGTTTAATGCATTGATCAGAGCTTATGCACATAACAATTTCTATACCTTGGCCGTCGCTGTTTACAAAAAAATGCTAAGACACGAACCGGCTGAGAATCCTTTATTGCCTGACAGATTCACATTCCCTTTTGTGATAAAATCGTGTGCAGGGCTCACGCATCATTCTTTGGGTAAACAAATACATGCCCATGTCTGCAAGTTGGGGCCAAAGTCTCATTCCATGACAGAGAATGCACTGATAGATATGTACACGAAGTGTGATAATTTAACAGATGCATATAAGGTGTTTGAGGAAATGACTGATAGAGATGTCATTTCTTGGAACAGCCTCATTTCTGGGCATGTTAGATTGGGTCAGATGAGTAAAGCTAGAGCTATGTTCGATGAAATGCCTAATAAGAGTATCGTTTCCTGGACCTTGATGATTTCAGGGTACACGCAAACTGGGTGTTTTGCTGATGCATTGGTTGTTTTCCGGCAGATGCAAATGGTAGGGATTGAGCCTGATGAGATCAGTATTATATCTGTTTTGCCAGCGTGTGCGCAACTAGGAGCTCTTGAGCTAGGAAAATGGATTCATATGTATTGTGACAGAAGGGGGTTATCACTAAAATCTTGTATTTGTAACGCTCTTATTGAAATGTATGCAAAATCTGGCTGCATAGAGGAAGCTCGCCAGTTATTTGAGCATCTAACACAAAGAGATGTAATTTCATGGAGTACAATGATAGGAGGTTTGGCAAATCATGGGAAGGCTAAGGAAGCAATCCAAATGTTTCAAGATATGCAGAGAGCAAAGGTTGATCCAAATGGTATCACCTTTCTTGGGGTTTTATCAGCTTGTGCTCATGCTGGTTTTTGGAGAGAAGGACTCATGTACTTTGATTCTATGAGAAATGATTATAACATACGGCCAGAGATTGAACATTATGGTTGCTTAATTGATCTACTTGGACGCTCAGGACGCCTTAACCAGACTCTTGATGTAATCAGGAAGATGCCAATGAAGCCAGATTCAAAGATATGGGGTTCTTTATTAAGCTCTTGCAGGACTCATCACAATCTGGAGATTGCTGTTACTGCAATGGAGCACCTTCTGGAACTTGAACCGGATGATACGGGGAACTATGTGCTGCTTTCAAATATCTATGCAGATCTTGGGAAGTGGGATGATGTATCTATGATGAGAAAACTTATTCGAAGTAAGAGCATGAAGAAAATCCCTGGATGCAGTTTGATTGAGATCAACAATATCGTTCAGGAATTTGTATCGGGAGATGATTCCAAACCATTTTCAAAAGATATCTTTCATATGCTAGAAATGTTTGCTATGCATCAGAATGAATATGACGATATAGAGGATGGAAGTAAGCAACTACAACGTTAAGAGCACTACGCTAAAGTCGGTATTGCTCTTCCTCAAAGAGTTAACAGATTAACATCAACTATGTTTCTTTAGATAACATCTTGAATTCAGTTTATTCATTTATTTTTTTAAGATACTGACTCTCAAGTAAATTATGCTCCTAATGCAAAACAAAATCCTTTTTCCTCTAATTGGAGGATTCCGAGCACACCATGACACTGTATTGCAACAAATACGGGCAAAGATGTATTATTGAAAGTAGTCTACAAGCAATCACAAGTATGCTAAAAGAAAACCGTCCTTAATATATGTGACAACAAAGAGAAGCCATCCATGGCAAGAAGTTAAAGTCATATTATGCCATATTATGAGCAATACAACTGTTAAAAAAATTGAAATAGAAACCTGCAGCTGAATAGCTAAGCAAAGGAGAGGCCACATACGATGATTATTGCATATACACCACAATCCATGAATGCAGCATCAAGCACCTTCTGCATTACATGGCCTAACTCCAAAGTCTTGCTTAATTGCTTAGCCCAACCATACTCATCTGTTGCAGCACTTTTAGTCTCCCCATTCACGGGTCTTTCTATTGCTCCATGATCGTGGAAAAGAAGTTGTGCAATCACAATTGTAAGATTGGTAAGTAGAACCAAGTAAAGAGCCCCAAAGCTAATAATACTCTTAATGATCCAGCTGCCTAGCAGAGGCAGCCTTAGATGTGAGAAAACAACCAAAATAGCCACTGTTATAGAACAAAAAAGGCGTATCCTCTCAGATAATGAGATAGCAGAAATTATTAGTTTTGGGGTAAACCGGTTATACTGGCGCCTCTGTAGTTCTGAGCTTTCTATTGTTTCTGAAGTAGAGATTGCTGGACTTTGATCTGGTATTGAAGCCGGCAATTGTTCTACTTCCCTGCTAAAATTCAATGGAGAAACTGTTGAACCTTCAACCCCAGTTTCACCCACATGAGATTCTACCTCCCCACCAACTCCACCTTCATGAGCATTAGTCAGACCAACATCTGCAAGGGAATCCTGTTTTGGCAAATCAGGAAAAGCAGCTTCTTCCTCAGCACAAGCAGAGACTGCAACCAGTAAAATGGGAAAGAAATAAGAACCAAGAACATGAAACCAGTTTAAAAGACGTAGCTTTCTGAGTTCTTCATTAGTATAGTAGTCCCAAATTCAGCAACCATCTTCCCCATTTTCAAAGCACTGAATTATCTCAGAAAATCTAAAATTGAGAAACCACTGAAACTGATTCCAATTCTTGGACTTGTGTGCAGAAATCCCAAAAAGATCATATAAAATGAAAATTAATTAACTTCGAATTCCCAATTCCTAACTCCAATTCCTCTAGAAATGAAGAAAAACTATCAAGCTCCCACCGGAATTCACCACACGACCAATTGACATCAACATGTGCAAATACAAATACGCAAAATCAGTTTTCTAAGCAACCAAACAACCAGACAGTGAGAGATAGAAAGAAATGGGTGAGTACCGGTGGCTTGATGGGAGACAGTCGGCGGTGGATCTTGAGCGAGTGAAACCGGCGGCTGAGATAGACCACTAGTGCTCTCATCCTGAGAATTCGCGGGAAGGGTTGAGATCCGACCTTGTATAAAAGCAAGGCGGTCGGCTCCTCTCTCGACGATCTTCCTCCGACGGCTTTCTCTGCTGCTCGTTGCCATCTTCTGTGCAAACTTGCACTCTGGACCCTGGAAAGAATCTCTTGATTTATCAAAAGGAAGCGGCAAAAGGTACCATTTTGCCCCTGAACTTTTCGACTCTTAGGGTTTTTGCCCTCCATATTACAATACATGGATTTTTACCCTCAATGTTTTCGAGTTTGAGGAAATAAGGCAAAATTTAACGCCGGAACGTCACGTGTAGCACGTGCACCATTGGCTTCCGTCAAGTATGCGCATGTCAACGCCAACTCAGAATTTTTTAACAACCTGGCATGCCAACTTGGAACCCCACGAGTGGGAAGTTTACCTGTTGCCAATTTTTTGTGGGTCCCACTGCTGACTAAAGGTTTGAAAAAAAAAGAGAAAAAGACAGATGAATGCAAAGAAATCTATTTAAATGATCCCTAGGGCACAAAGAGTTTCGAGTTTCCTTCTCTTCTCTGATCTTCAGATTCA